AAGTTGGCGTGAGTTCGTTATGGGCCTGGGTTTTGAGGACGCTTGGTTGCTTTAGAATGCAATATTACATAACTCAGGCACTGGAATATGAACCAGTCATAGGACCTATTATAGAACGAGAATTCCAAACCTTGATCACGCCTTCATTAATCCTTGTAACGGATACACCTCCATGACGATGCCTCTCTCCTCCTTCGGCTGTGTACCCCTCTAGTCATGCAGAAGATCATGCGCACGAGCGTGCATATCCCCTCTGTCGCTCAATGTAACAAACACATGGCTAAATGAACGGGTATCAACATCCGTTCACAAAAAGCCGAAGAACGTACATGTCATGCAGATCCCTAGCCATTCTGCTTTACCCTTCAAAACGACTCTCACAGAAGCTCCATATAATGTGGGCTCAAGAACACTTCACCGTGGAGCGCTGACCTCAAGACGGATCAATTGTCCGCCCAGAAGGCATCATCATTGACGAGCTTAACGCAGTCATCGATAGTCTGGCCGCGGTCCGGTCCAGGACCGTGTGAACCCGGTCCGGACCCGAACCGGACCCACAGGTTCATGCCCCTTACCTGAGCTGTATCAGCGGAGATGGCCAATCAATCCAGTTTTCCAGTTTTCCCACCACCACGACCACCACCAACACCACCGCTACCGCCACCACGACCACGACCACTACCGCCACCACTACCGTAAAACAGCTCGTGGTACACCTACTGAAGCCTTGTCCTGGTTGCCAGTAGGATGGTACGTCGGTCGGTACCCACATCTTATTGGTTTACCAGTCAATTGCGACATGAGCAAAGGTCCCACGAATAACCACTACCACAAATACTCTATATCTCGCCATTTCTTTATCCCCAACTCTCCCCTTCAGCTCAAACTCGTCATTGACTTTGAAAAGCTCTCTCCTTGCAATGTCTCAGCAATGTCTTACATGGCAGCTCTCTGTCTCTCCATGATGCTGCACCATTTTCGCCTATAGCACGAGTCCCTTGTCCTTGTCAAGGAAGATATCACTCTCCTTTGGCTTTGAGGAGATCACCTTACCCACGAAGTCGTTAGTGATGTCGTTCAAGGAGCTGACTTTTCCGCGGACCTCCCCAAGTTCATTTCCTCTCGTTTCATGTATCCTTGCAACCTCCATTGGCATTGATCACTCTGTAAAGCCATTGCAGCGTGACAGCCATATTTCTTGACCCTCGTTATCCCGGGTCGACATCATCTGCAGCTGATGTCAGCGAGGCGCAGCTGGTCTGCGACGATCAGGATAATGGTAGTCGGAAGGATTCAGAGGGAATGTGCATACTATTCGCTGTCATTTTGGACTCATGCACTAGTAGATAATGTTGCTACGACTGTCATTACTTCTCACAACGAGCCATCGAGGTCGGTAGGAGTAGTTTACTTCTATTTACCTGAGCTGTATCAGCGGAGATGGCCAATCAATCCAGTTTTCCAGTTTTTCAGGTCCGGTCCAGGTTCAGGTTCGGCACAGCTGCCTGGGTCCAGGTTCGAGGTTCAACCTCTTTGAAAATTCTGGACCCGGTTCGGACCCGGTCCGAACCTTGCGAACCTACCTCGAAATAATTCACGATTTTTCAGGTAAAGCTTCCAGAAGTTATATCATGCAAATTTTTTGACTGCTATCTAATATGTTGAGCTGAGAGTGATAGTGGAGGTAACTGTATAGCTAAATGAGATAAGGTTTAAGCCACCAGCATACATCGTACAATAGTCAGATTACATCTTCACACAGAAATCTGAGCAGTTAAACAGACAATAACATCGTCTTCAGAGACCTCGAAAACGGGGGTGCACTGAAGACAAGGCTAGTTGGGGTTGTTGTTGAATGAGGAGGGAGTAATGTTGGTGAGAGGGGGATGGGGGTGAGTCAGTGGCCGTCGCTCGAGATAGGGACCTCATGGACTCAAACGGTGGGCGGCATCGTCTTCGGCGACCTCAAAAACGGGGGTATACTGAAGACGAGGCTGAATGAGGCCCTCGTTGGGCAGTGGTAGATTGGTGTTGGGGAAGGGGGAGTAGTAAATGGCACGAGCGTCGTAGCGCAAGATAGCGGACTGGCGTAGTGAAACGAATACTGCCATCGTGTTCGGCGACCTCAAAAACGGGGGTACACTGAAGACAAGGCCGAATGGGGCCCTCATTGGGCAGTGGTAAGTTGGTGTTGAGGAAGGGGGCTAGTGAATGGCACGAGCATCGTAGCACAAGATAGCGGACTGGCGTAGTGAAACGAATGATGCCATCGTGTTCAGCAACCTCAAAAATGGTAGCTTCCCGAAGATAAGCCCGAACGGGGCCCTCACTGGGCAGTAGTGGATTGACGTTGATGGGGTGGAAATGGGCCGGTCATCGTCGCGCGAGATTGAGACATTGTGGGGTCAAACGAGTGGTGCCATCGACTTCAGGGACCTTGAAAACGGGGGTGTATCGAAGATGAGGTGAAACGGAGCCACGGTTGGGTGGGGATAGGTTGATGTTGAGAAGCAGGGGATGTAGGCTGTGACAAGTGACTCATTTGGTCAAACTCGTATTTTTTTTGTTAGCTATGGCCCGAGACTATCTTTCCGTCTCTGGATCTTCTGCGCCTTCGGAGCGCGTGTTCTCATATGCTGGCCGTACAGACTCTGACCCTCGCCATCACAATCTTGACGCAGAGAAGTTCGGCACCATGCAACGTCTGAAGGAAGCTTATCAGGATGGACGTATCAGTGTACAGAATGAAGCGTGGATGGAAATCGGGCCATGTTTTGATGATGAAAACTGGGACATAGAATAATCGTGTATCAGATGTATGAATATTAGAGTCTGCAGTGCGTAGAATTTTTTTGCTGAACCAGGTTCGAACCCGAACCGGACCTGAACCGAACCTTTTGGACCTGAACCTCAGGTTCGGGTTCGAGGTTTGGGGAGGCGGGAGGTGAACCTTGAGGTCCAGGTTCGAGGTTCAGGCAAATGTGCCCGAACCTGGACCGAACCCAAGGGGGTCCTAATAATGAATTAAAAGACAGTGGGTCGATTAAATAATTTCGTGCACCAACGATGGACCTACCTACCTTCACGTGACATCTATGATGTCATTAAGCTAAATTTGGGTATCTTTCGACTCAATTCGGTGAATATTTTGCCTGAAATAGCCGTGATATTAATATTGAAAGTGTTTTGAACATAATCTGTACGCTATCAAGTCTAAATCATGGCTGTGCTCTAATGGGATGTCGTAATGTCACCATGTCCAGTCAGCAGGGCCACTTTGCAATGGCATTGACTGAGTGTTGGTATCGCTAGGTATGATGCCCTAAGGTAAGTAGCACACTCAGTAGCATATATTGTATCATGTATGCTCTAAAATTTATCCTTGAAGTCCATTCTTAGACCCCCAAAATGGTGGTCAACTTTTTTTTTTTCGTGACATCCGGCTGGACCTACCTACCTACCCGGTGTGCCGGGCCGGAATTCCGGTACCCCCTTGACCAAACCGGACCGTGGCCAGACTAGTCATCGAGTGACATCAAATATCTGCAATGCTCTGTGAAGTATGTTTCACCTTGTAGAATAATAGTGCATCAGAATATGCAGGGACAAAATGATATGTCTGCCTGGCATCTACCCTTGGAAAACACGTATAAATCCAATTTTATTATCCTACAAACTACGTTTGTAGCTGTGCGAGTAAGAAAGAACCTGCAAGGTACACAGCAAGAAGTGTTAAACCCCACTGCATCAGTAAGGACTTAGCTGTGACAAGCCTAAGGGCTTGGGCAACAGACCAGTGATCTGATGACTCAGCCCGAGTGACCAATGGTCCAGGCAGGTCGAAAGCACATGGCTCCAGCTGAACCGGCATCCCAGCACTGATGGCTGCCTGATGGCATCGGTCCAAAAGTAAGAATAACAAAACAAAGAACGATCACGTACGGCTTTACTTACCTGGCAGCTTCCCTAGTCTCTCAGGCAGATGGTTGGCTCGCCGGGTAGATGAGAAACAAGAACCGTAACACCAGGGGCTCTGCCCTGGTACAGGTAAAACTTAGTATCATGAGCCAGGACACCAGGTTGTGGCATAAGATCATGATCGGGTTCACCTGGGAGCCAGGATATGAGCTCATATCTGTCAGAAAGTGAGCTCATATTCACCCGGCTCAGTCAGCGAGCGCAGTAATAGTACCTGGAAAGATTGAAAATATAGATAGGGTAGAATAGTATAAATACTGTCCATGTAACTAGCGGGAAGGGAGGTTTCTGGCCCCTGGAATGCTACCAAGCAAATTAGTACGGGTTTTGGTTAAGAGCTTCGAGCCCTAGACTCAACTGGAATAGTATTTAGTGACCTGGTCACATTTTGTGTGCAAGAACCATTCAGAAAGCAGTCAGTTCAGAAAGATACAGACAGACAGTCAGAAGTACAGTCCAGAATCCATGTTAGTACCAGTAAAACTGCAACCAGGCAGACAGTATCAGTTTAGACACTGCACCAGGCAGTTGCATAGTCCCTATGTCAGGCTGACATACACGCTCGCATGCGACAGCATTGCATCGACCTCTGGGTGAACGTGCCCACATGGTTGGCCACCAGCGTAGTCCCACTTGTGAGGTGAGGTCGTCCCTGCAAGCCCAAAAAATCGAACCATGTAGTCATGTAGATATATTCATATTTTGTTTCAATACAACAAGTCAAAAAACATGGGTCTGAAAAAAAAAATCTTTTTTGGAAAACATATGTGCTGGACATCAGAAGCCACACAAGAACAACACTGTGATGGATGGGACAGACTTAGAAGGGCGAAGGGAATAAATCGAAGTGATGAAACAGTGACAGGTTCAACATCATCATCAGGTTTCACATCAAAAGAACTTAACAAACCTGATCTGCTGGCAAGGAACAGCGAATCTTTGATCTGCAGCATGTTGGACCCAAGTGGGAACCAAGGCATGACCTTACCAAGCAGGTTGCACCTTGTTCGTCGTCGTCGATGATGACCACACCTCTTGGCCATGAGGTCATGATGCAGAGGCTGGTTGGCCACTCATTTTCCTCTGCCAAATTTCCTTTGCAGTGGGAATCAATAATGTATCACACTAAAGTACAATTGCAAGGGTTTATTCTATTACACCTGTACTGACACGGCAGTCTGTAATAGATTACCAGGCAATTAACGGGTGCGCTCCCCTTGCTCTCTCAGCTGCTGCAGTATTTATCCTGACTTTGTGTTTTACCTGGCAGAGATTGACTGTACAATACAAGGTGAAACGAGGCCTTACCTTGTGGAAAGAAGGATATAATTCATATGCTTTGAAGGACACCACAGCAAAGAATAGTGAGTACAGTTTCAAGGATGACCCATGGAGAACCATCACCCAGAAGTACTACATGAAAATAAGTGCCTTGGGTGAAGCAAAGTGGAAGGAGATCATCCAGGAGGTGATGAACTATTTACCCAAGGGTTGGAAGAACAAAACAGTTGCTGCAGATGGTGGAGCACAAAGATCGGGGAATGGTGTGGCAGATTCGGATGATGATATTGAGATGTCTGACTAGGTTAGTAGTATCTCCATTCTCTGTGTCTCAGTCTGACTCGGATTGCTACAAGCTTGTTGATTTGAGAGTCAAAGACTCAGAAGATGATGGTGTGCATGTTCAGTGGTCTGAGTCTGGCTTTGAGTCGGAGTGAGGCTGGTTGAGAGGGTGCACATAGTCTTAACTTCACTACTATGTCATACAGTTACAGGGAAAATACGAGTACAATACATATATGATATCATTCTATGTTACTACACTCGTATGGCTTATAAGAGGCATGGTGTGTGTAAGGACTGGCTGTGGTATGGCTTGAAGATATTGCCATTAGGCAGGCTATGAAATTAGGCAGGTCACCATTGGGGATATAACCTGGTATATGAGTATATTGGGTATGGATTGTATACAACCATACCTGCCATATGGATGTGAACTTGCTGATGTGGCCCCCAGTTAATGGTACATTTTCTTTGGAGTACACAAGTATTTTAGAATTCTTTTTCACATTGTTCACCCCCAGAGCCCTGGTGGATGTGTGGAACTGAGAGCAAGGGTATGATGGAATGGAAGTGAAGGAGTCAACAAACATTTGAAATTCAAAAAACACGATTTGATCACATGTTTCACTGTCCTGATCCGGGCTGGCCATGCTCCTACTTAGCTTTGACTTCAATGACCTACCATCTCTTTCTGAGCACAATTCTCAGCTGAATGCTTGGTTTTTACAACCCTTACGACTGAAGTAATGAAACTCAAAATTATGCTATCTGCATATCTCAACTTTTCTGCCAGTTTGCCAGCATGTTGTGTATACCTTTTCTTTGCCTTTTCCTGCCTTTTCTCAGTGTGAGTAATCATGCATTCATGGTCTAACCCTACCCTACTATCTGCAGTCTCCTTGGACAAACAGACTATTTATCCCCTGATTATATCATGAAACATAAAACAAACCATACTTTTGTAGGAACTGAGCGCACTTCCAGGCAAACCCCAACATCAGAGCCAGCTTTAGCCCTTTTGCGACAACAATCCAAACCAACAGCCAGGTAAGCGCATCCCTCTTGTTATTGAACTCATTTAATTGTTGCATGTCTAGGAAAAACAAGTGCAATTCCCCTAGGAACAAGGATTCGCTATTTAACCCAAGTTATGCTCTCCTGAGGGTATGATCTACTGAGGTGAGCCGCTATACCAACCACTCCTGTAGGACAATGACACCCAAGTAGAAGTATCCTCATCGCTATGTGGATATCGGCAACTGCTATCTGGTGGCATCCAACTGATCTTGCTGCAGTGCAATGAGGATTGATCTTCATCCAATGATCCCGAAGCATGGTGCATCCCGGTCCAACTAAGGCTTTCAATAGGCATAACCAGTCGCATGTAGAAGCTGTGCGATGATAAATCATAACAAGGGCATCTCATCTAACTGATCACTCAAAAACTTATCCGTGGATACTGCGTATGTCTGCACAACCAACGTGATTAAAGTATTGAAACTTGAGATCTGAGACGTTAGTGACTGAGCTTCCTGATCCTTTCTTATTCTGCAGTTTATATCTTTCATCGTATTCATCAGAAGTCGGATATATGAACCAGCGAGGAAGCCTCCTTGGAGTCATATACTTCCCTTTGTGATGGAGGGACCTGCGCTTGACCTGCCCCAATATGCCATAACTATTATCATCGGCGCACTTGACCTTACTCTGAACACTACGATTCTGCAAGCCTGGTTGCACGGCGGGTCCATCCCTCCTTTTCTTGAGTTCTCTTTTAAACCTTCGCCTTGCAGGTTTGTATACTGGAATCGTTGCGGTCACTTTATGGACTATGTGTACGTTCATTCTCCTGAATAGACTGGGACCTTCGCTGAACTCATAGTGCAGTCTCTTCTCCCAAGCGCTTACATGGCACATTCCTGTGTACAGTCATCATCACCCTTTATGTTCTTGCAACGATGATGTTTGCAATGAGCTGGGCGTTTATACGTCATGCTTTCATTAAGTACGGCGACAATTGTTTCAAGGTATTCGGGGCGATAATGGATGACGGCCTGTGGTGGAGACTAGACTACTTCGTCAGCAGTATCACTGGTGGTATCAGCACTCTTTTAGTCGATACCACAATTGTAGGTTATCTTGTGCAGTCTGGTCGACCTAGAATAACTGACTTGTTGCAGATATGGCGCTGCTGGATGCTCTGGGATCGTCGGTGGCGAATTGTTTCGCTGCCGATTGTTTGTACTGTAGCTGGAATAGGTGAGTCTTGTCTCTGTTTACAGATATATCTGTCCCTCAGTATCTCAGCCATGAAGATCATGCAAACGCTTAGTTATTTTCGCAATTCTACCAATGATATTAGCGAGGCCGAGGGTTTTACAAAAAACATTGACTGGTCGTTGTCCTACATCCTGCTGACACTCACTACAACACTCACGTGCACAGTCTTGATCGTTTACCGCCTTGTTCGGCAAGCATCAGGGATGAGCGCTTCCCGCAAAATCATCAAGATGCTGATTGATTCATCGGCGATGTATTCACTTACATTAATCGTCTATCTAGCACTGGTCTCAAAAAACTTGGAGTCCGAATTCTATGTGGATCTTATCGCCACTTATATCAAGGTAAGATTCCATCATATTTGCTTTTAGTTAAAGATCTAAATCCTTCAAGGCCATCGCCCCGACCCTTTTAGTTGGTCGCATTTCTGCCCACGCTCACGCGAGCTCTCGTCGACAACAGATGGTTGCTACATGGGAGAACCATCCTCCCTTGGTCGGCTGTTTTAGGGAAGAGGGCACCGAAAATAGCCGTCCATTCGATGGCCCGAATGATGGTCATCAAATGGTGTCGGGATCGTCGGGCGAGGAAACTGTATGATTTCAGTGTCTGCAGTGCCACCAATAGACCCACTTGAGATGCCGTAGATGGTTTCGTGCCAATCAAGATACCCCGTCAATTCATTCACGTATCGTATAGCCATAACATTACTACACATCGTGTTCTTGATATACATTATAGTCCATGTACGACTGTTAATTTAGAGGCTTATTTATAATTGCGATTCAAGAGAGCAGAGGATCATGATGGCATGATGGAAACTTACTGGTATCTGTACTAATTCATCGTTCAGTGTTTCAGGTCCAGGCGATGAGGCTAATACAAGTGGAATTTCTTGAACAACATACTCTGCATTCTCGCCAATATTAGTATTCTTATTGAAAGTCCTATGCCATTCTGTGGCATCACGTATTCCAATGTCAAGAAGGTATCTTATCCTTTACTCGCCGTTCACTGGTCCAAAGTTAAAGATTCGGATGGACGCACAAGCTCTCTGAAGTCGCGTCGCTCATTGAGCGATCTGTACCGCTAGGTGTCGCTTCCGTAGCTTTGCGATTTGTTTGCCTAAGTTGGTGTACGTTCGCTATGGGCCTAGGTGTTGGAGGACGCTTGGTTGCTTTAGAATGCAGTATTAAATAACTCAGGCACTGGAATATGAATCAGTCATAGGACCTATTATAGAACGAGAATTCCAAACCTTGATCATGCCTTCATTAATCCTCGCAACGGATATACCTCAATGACGATGCCTCTCTCCTCCTTTGGCTGTGTACCCCTCTACTTATGCAGAATATCATGCCCACAAGCGTGCATATCCCCCCTGTCGCTCACCAGAGCCAACACATGGCTAAATGAACGGGTATCAACATCCGTTCATAAAAAACCGAAGAACGACCGTGTCGTGCAGATCCCTAGCTATTCTGTTTTATCCGTAGAAACGACCCTCGCAGAAGCTTCATATAATGCTGGCTCAAGAACATGCCGTGGAGCACTGACCTCAAGACGGATCAATTGTCCGCCCAGAAGGCATCATCATTGACGAGCTTAACGCAGTCATCGAGCGACGTCAAATATCCGTAATGCTCTGTAAAGTATGTTTCACCTTGTAGAATAATAGCGCATCAGAATATGCAGGGACAAAAGAAACACTTACGAAGTCTTCCCTCCCGTAATTAGCAAGCATAGAGACAGGCATCACCCCTTCATGCATGTTAGGGCATAATCTGCCGTGATATCGTTTAGGACCTCGGTAGCAGTCGTCTCGGGATCCCCCACCGATGAAGGTCATGAGAGCATTGACAACCTTGCCTGCACGGTCTCTAAGCTCGAGACAGGCGTATTCCACAGCACACGCACGGATACGTCTGCGGGACGTCGGAGCTGGTCGTTCTGGTCCCAATAATCGTACCCCAGGTTGAGGCAAGCATGCAGCATAGTCTCGGGGGAAAGGAGTGACTTGATATGCACTGGCTCACTCTTCCGGCAGTGCCGGTTACCGTTCAAGCTTGAATAAGATCTCCTTTCAAACTTTTTGGACCTCTTATCTTCTAGCAACAAGAGAAATAAGTAAAGAAGCATGTCACCGGCGAAACAAGCTCACCTTCTGCAAGCTCGTCATAAAGCTTGATATGAACGTGGCCTCGCTCACGCTTGCTACGTCAGGAAAGCAGAGCATAGAATATGTCCTTATGATCCTGCATCAGATAATATGTCCTGGAGGGGCAATTTCAACACCACTCTAGAAAGTGGTTAGCGCACAGCGCAATGAAACAATGATATAGAACGTACTCAAGATGCGATCAAAGTGAAGGTTGATATCAGCAGCGTGCCCACATCAGTCCAGTCGCATCCGGGAACGCGTTTAAGGTCAGCGATTCTGCACATACTAAAACGATAGGATGAGGCTAACTTTGGAACGGGAATAACGTTGACACCTACATAATCATTTATGTACTACGCATCTATGTGTCATGGGGCCTAGGACTCGGAGAATTTACCGCTTTTTAGCTCATATCCTATAGCAGAGCATCGTAGATGGTAAGCGAAGAAAGGTATACAAATGAAAACGGCATAAGTGACGGACTGGGACAAGGAAAAAAAATCGGCCCAAGTGGGCTTAGCTAGACCGAAAAAGTGCTCAATGATCTCTCCAAGCTTTCTCTTCCCCGAATTTCAGGAAGA